ACCCAGACGTCCCGACCCTGACGAATCCCTAAAGCAACCATGACGTTCCAACCCTGACGCATCCCGAAAGCAACCCCGACGTTCCAACCCTGACGTTCCAACCCTGAAGCATCCCCAAAGCTAGCCCGACGATCAAACCCTGACGCATTCCTAAAGCCTCCAAGACGTTCTAAACCTGACACACCCCTAAAGCAACCTCGATGTTCCTACTCTGACGCATCTCTAAAGCAACCCTGACGTTCCAACCCTGACGCATCCCTAAAGAAACCTTGACGTTCCAACCCTGACGCATATCCAAAGCAACCAAGACGTTCTAACCCTAACGAATATCTAAAGCAACCCTGACGTTCCAACCCTGACGTATCCCAAAAGCAACCCTGACGTTCCAACCCTGACGCATCCCCAAATCCACCCCGACGATTCAACCCTGACGCATCCCTAAAGCCACCGCGACGTTACAAACCTGACGACCCTCTAAAGCAACCTCGTTGTTCCAACTCTGACGCATCTCTAAAGCAACCACAAAGTTCAAACCCTGACGCATCCCTAAAGAAACCTTGACGTCCCAACACTAAAGCAACCCTGACGCATCCCTAAAGCAACATCAACGTTCTTAACCTAAAGAAACCACGCATTTTTTACACTGACGCATCCCTTAATCAATCCCGACGTTCCAACAATGACGCATCCCTAAAGCAACGCCGACGTACTAACCATAATGCAACCCTTACATTACAAACCTGACGCATCTCTAAAGCAACCCCGACGTTCTAACCCTGACGCATCCCCAAAGCAACACCGACGTACCAACTCTGACGAATCCCTAAAGCAACACCGACGTTCTAACACTGACGCATTCCTAAAGCAACCGCTACGTTCCAACCCTGAAGAATCCCTAAAGAAACCCAAACATTCAAACCCTGACGCACCTCTGCAGAAACCCCGTCGTTCAAACCATGACAAATCCCTAAAGCAAMCCCGACGTACCAACTCTGACGCATCCCAAAAGCAATTATGACGTTCTAACCCTGACGCATTCCGAAAGCAACCTTGACGTTCCAACCCTGACGTTCCAACCCTGAAGCATCCCTAAAGCTAACCCGACGTTCCAACCCCTACGCATTCCTAAAGCCTCCCCGACGTTCTAAACCTGACACACCCCTAAAGCAACCTCGACGTTCCTACTCTGACGCATCTCTAAAGCAACCCTGACGTTCCAACTCTGACGCATCCCTAAAGAAACCATGACGTTCCCACCCTGACGCATATCCAAAGCAACCTAGACGTTCTAACCCTAACGCATCCCCAAAGCAACACCGACGTACCAACTCTGACGCATCCCTAAAGCAACACCGACGTTCTAATACTGACGCATCCCTAAAGCAACCGCTACGTTCCAACCCTGAAGAATCCCTAAAGAAACCCAAACATTCAAACCCTGACGCACCTCTGCAGAAACCCCGTCGTTCAAACCCTGACGAATCCCTAAAGCAACCCCGACGTTCCAACCCTAACGCATCTCAAAAGCAACCCCGACGTTCCCACCCTGACGCGTCCCAAAAGCAATACCGACGTTTCAACCCTGACGCATCCCAAAAGCAACTCCGACGTTCCAACCCTACCGCATCCCCAAAGTAACCCTGAAGTACCAAACTTGACGCATCTACAAAGCAAATTCAATGTTCCAACCAGACGCACCCGTAAAGCAACCTCGACGTTTAAACCCTGACGCATCCGTAAAGCAACCCCGACGTTCTAACCCTGAAGCATTCTTAAAGCAACTCCGACGTTTTAAACCTGAAGCATCCCTAAAGCAATACCGACGTTCCAACTCTGACGCATCTCTAAAGCCACCCCGACGTTCCAACCATGACGCATCTCCTAAGCAACCCCGACGTTCCAACACTGACGCGTCCCCAAAGAAACCCCGACGTCCCAACACTGACGCATCCTTAAAGCATCCTTGACGTTTCAACCCTGACGCATCCCTAAAGCAACCTTGACGTTCTAACCCAAATGCAACCATGACGTTTTAACCCTCACGCTTCCCTACAGCAACCCCGACGTTTCAATCCTGACGCATTCCTAAGGCAAACCCGACGTTCCCACCCAAACGCAACTCTGACGCTACCCTGACTCACCCCTAAAGCAACCCCGTCGTTCCAACCCTGACGCATCCCTGAAGCAACTCTGACGTTCTAACCCTTACGCATCCCTAAAGAAACCCCGACGTTTCTACCCTGACCCATCCCAAATGCAACCTCGACGTTCAGACCCTGACGCAACCCCAAAGCAACATCGACGTTCCCACTCTGATTCATCATCAAAGCAACGCTGACTTTCCAACCCTGACGCATACCCAAAGCAACCCTGACGCAACCCTGACGCATCCTCATAGCAACCATGACGTTCCAACCCTAAAGCAACCCTGACGTTTCAACACTGACGCATTCCTAAAGCAACTCTGATGTTCTAACCCTGACGCATCCCTAGCGCCACTACGACGTTCTCACTCTAAAGCAAACTCGACGTTCCAAACCTGACGCATTCCCAAAGCAACCCTGACGCAACCCTGACATATCTCTGCAGAAACCACGACGTTCCAAACCAGACGCATCCCCAAAGCAACCATGACGTTCCAGCCCTGACGCATCCCGAAAGCAACCCCGACGTTCTAACACTGACGTTCCAACCCTGAAGCATCCCCAAAGCGAGCACTACGTTCCAACCCTGACGCATTCCTAAAGCTTTTCCGACGTTCTAAACCTGACACACCCCTAAAGCAACCTCAACGTTCCTACTCTGACGCATCTCTAAAGCCACCCCGACGTTCCAACCCTAACGCATCCCTAAAGAAACCTTGACGTTCCAACCCTGACGCATATCTAAAGCAACCTAGACGTTCTAACCCTAACGAATATCTAAAGCAACCCTGACGTTCCAACCCTGACGTATCCCAAAAGCAACCCTGACGTTCCAACCCTGACGCATCCCCAAATCCACCCCGACGATTCAACCCTGACGCATCCCTAAAGCCACCGCGACGTTACAAACCTGACGACCCTCTAAAGCAACCTCGTTGTTCCAACTCTGACGCATCTCTAAAGCAACCACAAAGTTCAAACCCTGACGCATCCCTAAAGAAACCTCGACGTCCCAACACTAAAGCAACCCTGACGCATCCCTAAAGCAACATCAACGTTCTTAACCTAAAGAAACCACGCATTTTTTACACTAACGCATCCCTTAATCAATCCCGACGTTCCAACAATGACGCATCCCTAAAGCTACCCCGACGTACTAACCATAATGCAACCCTTACATTACAACCCTGACGCATCTCTAAAGCAACCCCGACGTTCTAACCTTGACGCATCCCCAAAGCAACACCAACGTACCAACTCTTACGCATCCCTAAAGTAACACCGAAGTTCTAACACTGACGCATCCCTAAAGCAACCGCTACGTTCCAACCCTGAAGAATCCCTAAAGAAACCCAAACATTCCAACCCTGACGCACCTCTGCAGAAACCCCGTCGTTCAAACCCTGACGAATCCCTAAAGCAACCCCGA